TGAGTCGGAACTGTCCTGACAGCACCTAACAACGACAATAAGGAGATAGACAACAAACGAAGTGCCAAGGAGACAAATAAGGAAGCAGGTGGGGCTAGGGGGATGTGGAAGCAGGACCAGAGGAGGTCCCTTGCTATTTTATAGAAGATGGTTGGGGAATGCCTTTCTGATCAGATGATATTTAAGCTCCGACATGAAGGAAGTGAGAGTTAATGGCATGAAAATCTTGGGGGAGGAGTATCCCAGGCAGAAAGAACAGTGAATGCAAAGGTACAGATTTGCAGCAGGAGCACATTGGCCTGAAGGAGGAATGGCAAAATGGTCCCTGTGCCTGAAGCACCCCAGGCCAGAGAAAGAGCAATAGGAGATGAGGTCAGGGCAACTAGACAGGTCAGGCAGGTGGGGCCCTGAGGCCACTTAACGACTCTGAACTCACTCTGAATAAGGTAGTAAGACTCTAGAAGGCTTTGAGCTGGGGAGAGATGTGATCTGATTTTCTGATTTACATTTTAAAAGGGTCACTTGGGCTGCTGTGTGAGAAAAGAATGAAGAGGGAACAAGGATGGAAGCAGGGAGACCAATTATAAGTCTGAACGATGAGTGTGGCTTGGACCAGGGTAGCAGCAGTGGAGATGGTGAGAAGCAGTTAGAGTTTTGCACATATTTCTGAAGGTAGAGCTGACAGAATTTCCTGATGATCTGGATGCAGGCTAGAGTGAGGGGAGTCAAGAATGACTCCAAGATTTTTGTTCTGAGCAACTGGAAGAACATAATAGACATTTAGTAAGCTGGGAATGAATGTCAGAGGAACAGGTTTCTGAAAGGAAAATCAGAAATGCCATTCTGCACATGTGAAGCTTGAGATGCCTATGAGACATGCAAGTGGAGATGTTGATTAGATGTTGTGACTTGTTGGCTGTCTGAGTTATCAAGTGCTGCTATAACAGAAATACAATTCAATCCATAGCACTGGCTTATGTTTGTTTCGTTCTGTTGTTTTTTAACTGCTCTTAGGGAATATTTACTTTCTCATTCCTTTCTTAAAGAACACAATTACCCCCAAGACTATGGCCCAAAGACACCCCTCTGACTTGGAACTGCAGCCATTCCCGGAAACCACCTCCCAGTCAAGCAACAGACAGGCCTATAAAATAAACAATAACACCCTAAAAGAATGTGCTCTGTAGAACAAACAATTATAGGAGACCAACAGTGCAATTTTTGCCCAAAAGTAAAGGTGAGAAGGCAGGAAGGGGTAGGAAAACCAGATGAAAGGAAATAGGGAAACCAGCACAGAAACGGGGAGAGTGCTGACACAGTGTGAGGACTGCAACCAATGTCATGAATACTTTGTGTACAATTTGTTGAATGGGAAACTAATTGGCTTGGTAAACTTTCACCTAAAACACAATAAAATGTTAAAAAAAAAAAACCAACATAATTAAGAATTGCACTTATACTCTTAGAAATGCTGAGGTCAGCAATTTTTAGGTTCATTAATTTCTTGACCTACCAGTTATAAAAGTGCCACTGTTACCTTTTCTAAGGTAACAGTGTAACTCTAGGTCACAATTACCTATCATATCTCAGTTTATAGATTTTTGTTACACATTTTTCTCTATGGTTGTCAAGACAAGTCTCTGACAACAAGGTAACTACACAAGTAAGTTAAAGCAACTATGTTGGAGAGATTCGAGAATGAGCTGTGCAAATTCTGTACAAATATTCTTCCTTCTTGCCTTCTTTCCGTCCTTCTCTCACTCCCTCTCTCTCTTCCTTACTTCCTTATTCTTTTTTAAAGATACAGCTGCGGTGTAGGCAGAAAGAAGCCAGAACTCGGGAGTCAGAAATGCCTAGTTTTGAATTTCTAGTTGTATAACTTTGGGGAAAAAGACCATAAAAATCTCTGTAAGTCTCTGCTCCATCATCTGTAAAATTGAGAGTGATGACACCTGCCTCACAGGGCAGTAGTAGTAACACCGTGGATGTTTCCAGAGCCCTTACTAGGCACTTTTCTACTACACTACACTAGGCACTTTTCTCAGCACTTTGACATAGATAATTTCATTTAATCCCACAACTCATTAGGTATTATTACTATTATTATCCTCACTGACAATGAAATGATGTTCCAAGTAATTGTTCTAGGACAAACAGGAAGCAAGCGGTAGAGACAAGAATTTAAATCTTGGCCATATGCATACTGCTTCACCATTAATGAAGTATTTTTATTTTTACATTTTATTTTTAAAAGTAGGTGTAACACAATATTAGGTTGAGCAATATGAATTTGGTATTTGTAGGTTCAAAACAGTCAAACATCAGCAATTTCATATGATTCAACCTTAACTATTATACTATAACCACTTATAAAAATGAATTGTGTACCATATGACCCAGCAATTTCACTCCTAGGTATACAGCCAAAAGACTTGAAAGCAGGAACACAAACAAATATTTGTACACCAATGTTCACTGCAGCATTTTTCATAAAAGCCAAAAGGTGGAAACAACCCAAGTGTCCATCAACAGATGAATGGATACACAAAATGTGGTATACACATACAATGGAGTATTATTCAGCCATAAAGAAAAATGAAGATCTGATACATGCTATGACATGAATGGATCTTGAAAACATGCTGAGTGAAATAAGTTAGACACAAAAGGATAAATATTGTATAATCCCATCTATATGAAATTAGGATAAGCAAATGCATAGTGGTTATCAGGAGTTAGGGGTAGGGAGAAATGTGACATTATTGCCTAAAAGATACAGAGTTTCTGTTTGGGGTGTTGGAAAACTTTTGGAAATGGATAGTGGTTATGGCTGTACAATACGGTGACTGTAATTAATGTCACTGAATCGTGTACTTCAAAATAGTTAAAATGGCAAATTATTTGTTATATATATTTTACCACAATAAAATTTTAAAAATTAAAATGTGAAATGTTCAGGGCACAGAAGCTTCACAGACACATCCAAACACCCTGAGGGACCCAGCTACTGGGCTAAGTGCTGGGAACCATGGTCTTAGGGGACATCTAGCTCAACTGGCGTAACAGTCTATAAAGAAAATGTTCTATACCCGACTGTGGTGAGTAGCAACTAAGATGCATCTACTGGTCTCATCCCGGATGGAGCAAAGGAGAATGAAGAAGACCAAAGACACAAAGGAAAGATTAGTCCAAAGGACTAATGGAACACAACTACCACAGCCTCCACCAGACTATGAGTCCAGCACAACTAGATGGTGCCCAGTTATCACCACCAACTACTCTGGCATGGATCACAACAGAGGGTTCTGGATAGAGCAAGAGAAAAACGTAGAACAAAATTCAAATTCCTAAAAAAAAAGACCAGGTTTGCTAGTCTGACAGCAAATGGAGAAACCCGAAGAGTATGGCCCCCGAACACCCTTTTAACTCAGTACTGAAGTCACTCCTGAGGTTCACCCTTCAGCCAAAGATTAGACAGGTTTATAGGGCTAACAATAACACAGAGGGACATGCTTCATAGTTCAAAACTGTATACAAGACCAATGGGCACACCAGCCCAAAGGCAAAGACAAGAAGGCAGGGAGGGACAGGAAAACTGTACGAATGGAAACAGGGAACCTAGGGTGGGAGAGTGCTGACTCATGCGGGGTTGGCAACGAATGTCACAAAACAATTTGTGTTTTAACTGTTTAATGATAAACTAACTTGCTCTATAAATTTTCACCTAAATCACAATTAAAAAAAAAAAAGTGAAATGTTTTTTAACTGTAAAGCACTATACAAACAAAGGTGTTATTGTAAGCAACAATAAACAGAACCACACTAAGAATGATTAACACAATTGTAAAATTGGAAGTAGTGTGAAATGAAGCAAAGAACAAATATAGGACCCATTCACATCACACATCAATCGATTTTCAATCAACAAGTCCATTATATACCCAGCCCAGGTTTCCATTTGCAGCCTCAGTATTTTTGAGAATTCTAATATCCCCCTTTACTAAAGTCATACGTGCTGGGCTTAATCTTTCTGAATGGTATGGAGACTATCTCAAGTGACATCATTTTTCCTCATGGTGCTCATTACCACCTGACTGTTTATGATCTCTCTCACCCTACTAGAAAGTCAGCTCATGAGGGCAAAGATTTCTCCTGTTCTATTCAGTGCTTTATCCCTCCACCATCTAGAACAGTCCAAAACCAAAAAACCAAACCCACTGCTGTTGAGTCGATTCTGACTCATACTGACCCTACAGGACAGAGCAGAACTGCCCCCACAGGGTTTGCAAGAAGTGGCTGGTAGATTTGAGCTGCCGACCTTTTGGTTAGCAGCCAAGTTCTTAATCACTGTGCCACCAGGGCTCAGTGTGCAAGGCTCACATAATCACTCAAATCCATTTTTTTAATGAATGATAAATTAGAACCTCCTAAATTACTTAGACAAAAATACAAATACATGGAATAGATTTTTATGACAAAGACAAACAGTCCCCAGTTATTGTATAATGTAAAACAAACAAGCAAAACGCAACTTCTAAATGATGTGAGATAATAATGGTTCCCATACATAAACACTCCAAAAGGTGTCAAACATCTAGATTTGAACTGCACCCATTCAAAAGTGAAAATCCTCTTATATTTGCCTTGTTAGTAACCATTAATATAAACTATCTTGAATTACAAAATTAAATTTAGGATATCATACGATCAAAGTTACAGACACAGTAGTAGGAAAAATCATATTAGAATCTTAGATAAGGAAAGGAAGTTAGAAAAAAAGTGAAAAGCACATGTTTTAAGACTGAAGTGAATAAATTTTAGAAAACAGTTTAACATAAAACTAAAATGACTTCACTTAGAAACTAGGAATTACATTTCCATTTTAAAATTTGTTTAACCCGTTAAAAGATGTTCTTAAACTCACTGCGGGGAGGAAAGAAATGCTATTCCAAGTTTCTAAAGAAATCAAAACTGCCTAAATAACATTTACACCATATTACCTGTTCGAAACAGTCACCAAAATCTTTCCATGACTACCAAACGTTACATCCGTTTATTGAAAATACGATTCGGAATCAAGTCGATGGCAATGGGATGGGATGATGTAGAGCACTGTATAGAGAAGAGAAGATAATAATCATCCCATAAAAATAGAAAATGTTTTTCTCACTACCAGTTTCTCAATGTGATCTTTGATAAAATTCTAAAAAAGAGCATCAAGTTTAGTTCCCCATGTACATTTATCGGCAGCTGCCTGGCCATGGCTACAATAGACGCCTGCAGCTGGCTGTCAAACCACCAAAGGCTGCTCATGATCCACCTTCCCAGTCTCTTAGAACTAAGCTCGCTTGGGTCAAAACAAGTCAATTGCCTTTCTCGCCAGTAGTTATATGCTGGAATAATAGTGTCAAGTATAATTCTGGCTGCCAAGATTTTGTTCTTAAGAATAGACTTGTAACTATTAAAGGGGACATTAAATTAGAGCCATTGCCTGAAAGAAATGGACTATCTGCATCCATAGCTTGATTGGGATAACACTCAAGTTTTGATTTGTAGTCAAACCAGAGGCAAGGGAAGCAACTGAAAAAACAACGAATACCACAACCCTAAAAAGGTTGAACTGTTTTAAAAAATGAGTGTCAGTGTCAGTGAGCAAAGCACCAATAAAATTAGGGTTACACTTTAGAGAAGACTCCACGTTAACTCCGACTTAGTATAGTTACATATCATTAGTACAGAAGAACAGTATGGAAGTATCAAACGATGAAGCATACTTATGTATACTGACACAGAAAAATGTCCAAACTATGCTGTTGGAAATGGAAAAAACTGTTATAAAATCTGCTAGAATGAGTGTGGTCTCATTTAAAAAAAAAAAAAAGTATAGATATGGTTATGGGCAAACAAAATAATGTAGAAAGATATAATAAACCTATTAAGCATGGTTTTCTTCCATACAGGATGGAATTATGGATTATGGAGACTTCACTTTCTGTTTTATAGATTTATTTGTCCCTTTAAAATAATAAGTACGTATTATTTTTTTCACCACCTGTCTGCCAGTTTGACATGCTGTGGTGGCCTGCAGTGTTGCTATGATGCTGGAAGCTATGCCACCAGTATTTCAAATAACAGCAGAGTCATCCATGGTGGTCAGGTTTTAGCTGAGCTTCCAGACTAAGACAGACTAGTATGAAAAGCCTGGTGATCTACTTCTAAAAATTAGCCAATGAAAACTTTACAGATCACAACAGAACACTGTATGACTCCCTTGCTTTGGACATGTCATCAGGAGGGATCAATCACTAGAGGACGTCATCTATGGTGAAGCAGAGGACCAAGAGGGCGAGGGAGACCCTCAGTGAGATGGATTGGCACAACAGCTGCGATGAATTTGAGCATACTGGTGATTGTGAGGATGATTCAGGACCGGGCAACATTTCGTTCTGTTGTACATAAAGTTGCGATGAGCTGGAGTTCCCTCAAGGGCAGCTATCTATTATTTTTTTAATGGGTGAAAGGAAGATATTTCCAGGCTTGGGAAAGAAAAGATAATAAGCCCCTCTCTCCTTCATGGAATGAAAGATTTGAGGATTTCAAACTCATGGAATCAGAGACAAATCTATAGGCTGCGAAAGCTTCTCAACATCCTCTGCAAACCACTTGCAAAAAATATTTTTTGTAAAGCAGTCCTTTCTTCAAACATAACCCTATGAAGAACTTGAAAATATAAAAGTGAAACTGCTCTTATTGGAGGGGATGGGGACTGTAGCGAGCTAAAGCCATTCACCCCCCTCATCTCCAGCAGTGTCCCCTAAGGCTCCCGAGGATTCCACAGAGCACAGTGGAAACCCCCCTGATCGATACAAGTCTTCCGCTGAGCAGCTGGGAAACTGGGGTCCAAGGATTAGCCTCCTGCTACTGGCCTCTGCCGTAGTGACTGCCCCAAGGTCGCTTTATGTATTAGGCATCGTAGACCCAGCACCTGGAGCCTGCGAGCTTTTCAAATACATACAGAAGAGTTTAGAGAAACTTGAAAACACAGATTAAGTGGCTCCAAAATACAAAAAAGAAAAATGCATAATCAAGATTAATAAATGTATAATGTAATGTAAACAAAAAAGATGAGAGACTAAAAGAAACATAATGGTCTTGATGTTCAACATGATTCAAGCACACTTCAAGTCACTGGTGGCCTTGCAAATGTGTTTTTTTACAGCCCGAGGTTTGTGTTTAGCCACACGAATCCATCTAAGTAACACAGGCTGGAATTAGACACGGAAAACAATAAATGAAAGAAAAACAGCAGCAGAGAGGCAGTTCTGAAACTGAAAACGGACAAACAAGATGTGGTGATCAAGTAGGTAGATAATGTAGGGATGCCCAGTGATAGTGAATTCTCCTCCTTAGAGGGTAAAATCAAATTCCAAAAAGATTCCAACAGTCTAGAATAATGAGTAAAATCTAAATTTTAATAGAAACAAACATATCATTCTGAATTTTTATCTTAAAAAAAAAAAAAAACCACTGTAGAAAAATATGGGTGATGGGGACTTGTTTTATCATCACAGAAAATGACATTCAGGGGTACTGGTTCACACTAAATTTAGTTTGGGAATATGTCAGAATAGGCAACATGTATAAAATGCAGATAATAAGGGCAGATTTCTGCACCAGCCTAACCACATCTATATTGAGTGCTGGGCATTTTGCCTTTTTTTTTTTTCCATTGAACTTTAGATGAAGGTATACAGAACAAACTAGCTTCTCATTAAACAGTTCGTACACATTGTTTTATGGCACTGGTTAACAACCCCATGACATGTCAGTACTGTCATTTCTCATCCTTGGGTTCCCTATTACCAGCTTGCCTTCTAGTCATTACTCCTGGGCTGGTGTGCCCCTTTAGTCTCGTTTTGTCTTTTGGGTATGTCTAATCTTTGGCTAAAAGGTGAACCTCCAGAGTGACTTCATTATTGGCTAAAAGTGACTTCATTACTGGGGCCATACTCTCAGGGTTTCTCCAGTCTCTGTCAGGCCAGTAAGTCTGGTCTTTTTTGAGTTAGAATTTTGTTCTACATTTTTCTCCTGCTCTGTCCAGGGCCCTCTATTGTGATTCCTGTCAGAGCAGTCAGCGGTGGTAGCCAGGCAACATCTAGTTGTACTGGACTCAGTCTGGTGAAGGCTGTGGTACTTGTGGTCCCTTATTCCTTTGGACTAATCTTTCCCTTGTGTCTTTAGTTTTCTTCATTTTCCCTTGCTTCTGAAGGGGTGAGACCAGTGGAGTATCTTAGATGGCCGCTCACAGGCTTTTAAGATCCCAGACACTACTCACCCAAGTAGAATGTAGAACATTTTCTTTATAAACTATGTTATGCCAATTGAGCTGGATGTTCCCTGAGACCATGGTCCCCACAGCCCGCAGCCCAGCAATTCAGTCCCTAAGGGAGTTTGGATTTGTCCATGGAGCTTCCATGACCTTACCCTGAACAAGCTGTACTGGCTTCCCCAGTATTGTGTACTGTCTTACCCTTCACTAATGTTACCATTTATCTATTGTCTATTTAGTGTTTTTCCACTCCCACCCCTCCCCTCTCTTGTAACCATCAAAGATTGTTTCTTTTTGTGTGTAAACCTTTTCATGAGTTTTCACAGTAGTGGTCTCATACAATATTTGTCCTTTTGTGATTGAGTTATTTCACTCAGCATAATGCCCTCCAGATTCATCCATGTTATGAGATGCTTCACAGATTCATCATTATTATCGTTGGTGTAGTATTCCATTGTGTGCATGTACTATAGTTTGTTTATCCATTCATCTGTTGATGAGCATCTAGGTTGTTTCCATCTTTTTGCCATTGTGAACAATGCTGCAATGAACATGGGTGTGCATATGCCTATTTGTGTGGTGGCTCTTATTTCTCTAGGATAGATTCCTAGGAGTGGGATTGCTGGATCATATAGTATTTCTATTTCTAGCTTTCTAAGAAAGCACCATGTCGTTTTCCAAAATGGTTGGGCATTTTGCTTTTTAAAGACATAGGCCAGCTCCATTATATTTCATTGGGACTGTGAAAAGGCTCTATATTAGAAGAGTTGGGAAAAGTAGAGATGTGTAAACCTAGAGAAGAAAGGACTTTAGGAAAATGATCTCTCTCATCAAATACTAAAGGGCTACTATGAGGAAGAGGAATTAGATAAAGTGTGTGGCCCTAAGTAAAAAAAAATAGTGTAGGCCAGAATTCTGGTGAACGTAATTTTTCGAACAGGGTGGGTGTGAAGACGAGTGGGTTGTCAGGAAGCTGTGAGTTCTCCCATCACTAGATGTCTTCACTGAAAGCATAGGCAACCACCTGATGCAACTGGAGAAGAGGGCCTTGCCCTCACCCAGACTCAAACTAATGCACAAAAAGGTAGCAAAAAATTCCTAGAGAGTCCACTCCAGGAGATTCTGGATCCTGCAGCCTGGTGGTATGTGTTAGGAAGGCTATCTCAGGTGACGTGGATACATACCCCAGGTAAGACTGGACACAGTCCTTATCTTCCATCTATTGAGAGAGCATAATCTACTGAAACATAATTCTGCTGCAGTCGGGGGAAATGTGCAAATGTACATACAGAACAATTACACTAATAGTATAAAACTAACCAAAACCAAACTCATTGCCATTGAGTTGATTCTGACTCACAGCAACTCTGCAGGACAGAGTAGAACTGCCCCAAAGGGTTTCCAAGGCTGTAACCTTTACAGAAGCAGACTGCCACATCTTTCTCCTGCAGAGTAGCTGGTGAGTCCGAACCACCAGCCTTTTGGTTAACAGCCAAGCAGCAGCAGTAACCAAAGGCCTGGTCGTCTTTAAGAACTGTACAGTAGGAAGTTGAAAGGCTTTCCTAGAGAAACGTAGGGGGGAAAAAATCTTATGCTATCACTGTCCTAAATCATTTTATACACTTTCCTATTACTAACAAATTGCAAAGGAAAGCAGGTTTTATTAATGTATTGCTGCTCCCCTATTGCTGTTCTTGCAGATTATATATAGGGAAAACTAATAAAGCCAGAATGCCTTACTCAATGGTGCAATCTAACCATCCATAACATAGCCAAGAAACCC